GGATGCTTGTGAAAACAGGTCTCTCCTCTCCATGCTTCACTCTCTCTGCCACTTTTTTTTCACAGGAGAAACTTCACACTTTTTTCACTTTTTTCTGCACGTTGCCTGCAGAGTTTGTTATGCATATTTCTGTTATGTTAAATAGCAAGCAAATAGCTGACGAGCTCCCCCACCAAGTCCAACACAACTACTTCTTGAATCTCGCACACTCTTGACCTAGTCCATAGACCTCTGGTCTACAGACCTTGTGTGATTCGTCTGAATCACCCTCAGGCCTGCAGTTTGCATCAAGTTACTCAAATAGGAGTCACTACAGAAGCAGGATGCCCCATTATTCTGAATGCAGTTAGACACATATTTTTCAGAGCAAGTAGAGCTGAGCAGATGGATATGGCCAGAGCGAGAACTTGCCACCCTGTGCCTCCAAGTTCACCTTTAAATAAGGGTTGGTGTCAACATCATGCACACAGATGGACAGGAGTTTTTGCTAGAGCAGCTTGTAATGGTGTGGGGCTGGGGAAAACATTTTGCAAAACTGTAGTTTGCAAGAAACATTTTGGGTTTTTTTTTCCATGTTTACCATTTTGTGGAAGCCATAAAGGTGAGACTGTCCTGAGAGACACCAAGCTGGCAACGTTTGACCTCTATAGCTCAATTTCTAACAAGAGACACCTGAACTACAGCACCACATACTTCAAAAAAGTATAATACTAATGGGAATCTAAACAGGAAAATATTTCTACCCTACACTGTTCTTCAGAGTTCCTTGTCCATAAAAGTTTTCAACTTATATTCCAGTTCAGCACAAACTTGTCYCATAGAAAATTATGATGTTTGGACGTTATTTCTAGGGTTTGCACAGCTCAATATTTATTCTTTACACAACTGGTTTTACTCCAGAATCTTTTACATTTTTAGTACTTTCAGGTTTGCAGGGCAAGCACTGAAGAATTTGCATTTGATCATGCCCTTTTAACAACTTCATTTTAACAGGAATCCAGAGGTTTGTTACAAACAAGATGTGAAATCTCCTGTGCAGAGCTCTATACTTGCCAAGCTATGTGATCGAGTCCATTGCTATTTCCATCCTCCCCCACCTCTAACGAGAGCAGGAAAGAAAGCAAAGAAAAAACTGTAAATAAGAACTGCTTATCTTTAAGCAAAATGAAAATCATCCTATATACAGACTACAACATAAAGACCCTACAGATGCCTACTTGGTCCCTTGAGCACCATGTGCTGCCAAACACAAAAAAAACTAAAGAAAACACCCAAAATGTATGTACACACACACACAGGTTGTTAATTCTGCAGGTATTTTTGAACATCACACCTCAGACATCCCCAGCCCTACAGTTGCTGTCTGCACAGCGAGTCTTTGTCAGGAGCTTCCTCTGATTTATGCTCTCAACGACTTGCACTTATATCGCTGCTAGGCTGCTTAATAAGCTAACCCTGAAAAACTGGAAATATCCCACAAATCACCATCATGGAAGAGTTTACGTCTCAACTTCCCAACTGGATTCAAAATTCAAATGATAAACTCATCAGCGGGCGTGCTGCTTTCTGCTAGTGGAAAATCTGTTACCAGTGGAGGACTATTAATCTTTCAAGAAGAACTGCAGTGTSTTAATGCAGATGATAGCTCTGTGGTGGGGAAAGCAAGAAAAATTGTGTTTCTGTCATTGCTGACCCTTGTCTTTAATGTGCCATTCAGCAGCTCTTCAAAAACAGGGATCCTAATCCAGTGGGCAGCTCTCCAGTAAGATCAAAGCCAACAGGAGCGTTGCCCAAGCGAGTGGGTGTTAATAAGCACCCAAATAAGGCACTTATCCAGAACACAAATATTTCTTCCTTATTCAGTGTGGAATTCCCATTGATGTCAATGAAAGTACCATGCACGCAGAAAATACTGACGATATCTACAGCATGGAGCAAGAGAGAAGGTTTTGCCTGCAGCGTTACAGAACCTTAATCATTTACACAGCTCATGGATCCCAGGCTGCTGCTACAAAGGGAGCTTCGCACATGCCCTGTGAGCATCACTTCCAGCACCATTTCAAAGCCTCTGCTCTGGAACAGGGCTGTTTTCTAAGCACCAATGCAAAGAAGTGAAAAAACCCAACGGGTTCTCTATGGGAAATGAGACTGAGGTTTACTGAATAAAACTAGGCTAATTCTTACAATTGCAGAAGAGCAGCAGGATATCTAAGTGACCATAACTAAGCTTCAGACATCATGGAGACACTACATTTCTAATGCAAAGATACAGGCACCCAAGCTGACTTTAACATCATGTTTATGTTGCAGAGATTGATAACACAGCACAGAGTCAACACTCCTTCTAGAGTGTGTGTTACTCACATTTATTGCTCCGATAGGAAAATAAGAATTTGCTCCCTTGTTGCCAAGTTTCAGAATTACAATTTATTTAGAAGTAAAGCAAGGCTTGAGCTGAGTGAAAGACATATCATTCATTGTCAATGATTTTGTGTACAAACCTAGAAGAGCTGGGCAAATGCTGACAAACTGACTCAAATGCATCTGTAACTAAATGGCCAAGATGTGAATCATTATAATTCACAGAGGTCAGACTAGCCAGGCTTCAGCAATGTTCTCCCAATTGGTAATACTTGCAAAAGTGCTTGCAAACGCCCCGAGTTGCCTGTTGTTTACTAGTTGTCATTCACCATTTGCTACTCCCTGTCAAAATGTTTCAGTCATTAAATCGCAGAGCAGGAAATATACCACATGCCCAATCACACACAGTGAATAATAAAAGTCGACAATTTGTGAATGGTTTGTGAACAAACCCAGAACCAAAATAAAAGTCAGACAGACTATTTAGCAGACATCTGAATAACAGATCTGTTGCCAGAGAAGAGCAGCAATTTGCAGGTTACTTCTCAATTAAAAAGAAAGCAGTTAGATTTATCAGGTTATTTTATTCTGAAAAAATAAATGCTACTTGAACTGCACTAATATTTCATCTCTATTTCTGCTTCCAAAATAACTATTGGGAGAGACTGCTTTTATTCAATTTAAATCTTCTAGTTTTACAAAAGTTACATTTGTCTGGATTATAGAGTTAGACATACCTATCAGGAACATACATCAAAAGCCATTGCAAGGCAATAGTGATAATCTCAAACTAAGAACCCCAAGTCCAGGAAGTGCAGTGAAAAATTAAACAATACGTCTAAGCAGGTAAAGATATGGAAGAGTTCAATGGACCAACATCAGTGCATCCTAGAGCAAAATCCAGTGCCAGACCTTCATGGCACGCATGCCCTAACGTAAATCTGCACTGCTCACGTCTGATCTCAGCACCGAGCAGCGTTCTCCAGCTGCTCAGATTACGTTTCCCATGTTCAGCTCGAGGTGCTCACTCTACATGGAGCTCGTTTCCACAACGAAGATGAGCACAAGGCCTGTGTGCTATTTAAGCTGCAATTAAACCCTCAGAAATAGGTCCTCAGTGATGCTTAGGCTGCTGCCAGCTCTCTAAATTCCACCCTATATAATTTCTTCCATCACCCACTCACATTATGTTATTGTCTACGGCTTCTAAAAATTACTACTAGTGCATTCATAACTTCCCGTTGACAAAGAGCTGCAATTATTGTTTTCCTGAACGTCCCCCGAGCTTCCCAYATGAGCTGTTGTGCTTTCACAAGCGCATTTCTCCAGCAGGAGATCTCTCTTCCACCTTGCACAGGAAAGAGTGTAATTTAGAGTTGACTCTGGAGCATCAGGGAAAGGGAACAGGAGAGGCAGCGCTTCCATTCCTAACATCATACTGACCTCTAGAGTGAGAAGTGCCGCACACCCGGCAAAGTGCATGGAAAACAGCAGGAGAAGCAGGACAAGGAAAAGCTGCCAGGAGCTGCCTGCTAGCAGGAGGTGCTGGGAACAAGCCCTGAGCCCTCGGGGCTCGGCTGCTCCAGGCATGGAACAAGGCTACGCCTATGAGCCCTGGAGCGGGGAGTCCTACGAGCCTGGCAATAATCCCACCTAGTGCCTTCACAACTGCAAAGTTTCATGTTCAAATTGCTGCATATATGAATCTGCAATATATCACATGGGATGTGCTATTTACACTCATTTTCCATTGTTAAAAACACTCTGTTTTTGAGGGTGCAATATCTCAAGGTCTGAAGGCATTCAGAGCTATGTATCCTTTGCTGCAAGCCTTCCCATAGCAGTATGCAATGTTGTGTTTATGAGTTTCTTTAATGAGATCAATTTCCTTTGCTTTCCACTTTCCTTTGTCTGAGCAATTACTTAGGAAATGTTTTAATTAATGTTTCAGTTAATTATGTGGGTAAATTTTGTGAGAAGTCCTGAAGGTTTCAAATACACATCCCAGAAAGACTCACCACAAAAGTAAATCTTACTACGAGTTCAAAACAGCTTACAATAAAACTAAGTACAGTGGTAAAAGGTTTTCTAATTTAAAAAAAATCCATTTTAAAGAATTATATTGATACTTATGTTGAACTATGAAGACCTTTTCTAGGATTTGCAAAAGTAAACTTCAATAAAACACTTAAAGCTAAGAGAAAGCCTCACACYTAAGACTTGAAGAAGCCAACAATTTGCACTTTTTTTTTTTGCATTATCTTCCTCCTTGATCAAAAGCAGCACATACTTCAGCACAATACCACCAAAAAYTCCTTTCTCAATAAATACAATTTGACATTTAGTTTTCCCAAGCAGTCAAGAGTTGAGCACAAACAGCAAGTGAAGCAGCATGGGGAAGCAACCAACTTAGCACATGAAACGTGGAACACAGTCAGCCCAACAAAGGATGCAGTGGGGAAAAGAAGGGACAAGGTTTTCCAGAGCGGCTGACACACTAGGCCCACRGATGGACATGCAGGCCAGCCAGGCAAGGAGAGGCAGGCAGGACCTTGCTGAGCTCAGGCTGACACCCTTCTGCACGCAGTAGTCCCCGARCACACAGCCACGCAGCACAGGGACAAGCGCAGGGTACTTACTGCTCTCTGCAGTGCTACCAGCAGCTCGACTGTCCTCAGAGCAGGAGARGTCTCCACAGGGAATAAAACCCTCCAAGGTCAAACCAACTAGCTAGCACTTCCTTCTCAGCATGAAGATACCAAAGCTCTTCATCCCTCATGGATCTCCTCAAACAGCCAAGAACAGTACTGCCTTCTACYATAGGGGTGCAAAGCTCTCCCTAATATGCTGCAATGGGCCTACAGGTGCTTTGGGTCAACCTCAATGACATTGCAGGGGATGGGAATGGCTCTTCAGACCTGCCCTGCAGCTGTGAGGCTACCCAGGTGAAAGCAGCAACATCTTAAAMTGCTCCTGAGTTGTTTTTGTAAATGAAGCATGTTCCTAAGGCTCCGWACGAGGAAAGGGCCTGATCCAGGTGCAAAGCTACAGATGTGCTGCTGTGAGGCTCTGAAGTTCAAACAAGTGAAAACAAAAAAGAAAAGGCTGCAATGTAAGTCACACAGCAAGGATGAAATCTCCAGAGAATCTCCAGAGAAAGCAGTTTGGTTTGGTGATCCTGCTGTGATCAGGTAGCAGAGATGGGGTGGCTACAGCTGGGTAACAGAAAACACCCAACACCTCCCCTCTAGCCCTGCATTTGCATGTTACCTTGTCAAAGATAGATCAATAKGTGTCAGGTTAGTGATATGAAAAGGGATAATTTCCTTTCCAGTAAACTGAGACTCCCATATGACACACAGAACACAAAGTATGGAGAGACCTCAGGGAGGAGATAKGAAGCTCTGGATTTAGCCTGAAGGTCAGAATTTCAAGAGATTTCAAGGAAAACTTCAAGCATTCACCATGCATCTCCATGGCCATGCAACCAGCAGGGCTTGAGCAGCTGGCCAGGAGAAAGCTGGCAGCCAGGCTCTACTCTGACTGCCACCAAAGGTCACGTTAAAATCCAGTCATTCMCATATAAATGAGCTTCTTCCCAAGCCTTGCCTACTGTAAGTAGCATTGCATGCAGTCTCAGAGAGCTGGATTTACCAGCTCCCAGATTTGTCTGGGTTTCAAAGGTATTACTCACGGAAAATGCCAAAGAAGGAAAAAATAAGCAAATGGTAAAATAAATCAAAGATCCAGTAATATTTTCAGACTAAAAATTGAATCACACTGTTAAATTAACAGACCTTGAGTTCGCTGAGTTTGACATAGCAGCATCAAGTCAGGATATGGATAGAGCTCAGAGTATGTATGTGTGTGTTATAAATATTAAAGGGTATGGCAGACAACTACAGTATTTCCCATAGCAACAAGTCATGTGAACTCTTAAGAGAATGTAAATAAAACCATAAAGTCATGCTATTGTGCACAAAAAGCCCTACACAGCAGACCACCTACAGATATGAACTGTGCAATAATCTATCCACCCAGTAGCCCAGGTATAAAGAGGGATTTATTTTCCCACATTTTTTTTTTCCTGTCTGAAGGAGCTTTCCTGTTTAATGGCTCACACGCTATTCTGGGGCTTGTTAGTGCAAAGACGACAAGTCTCGTTTTGTTAAGCCGTGCTGTGAGGGGAGTCAAATGGCATTTCCTCTATTCTTTGCCACTATGAAGCAAACTCACCCTTCTGCCAGGCTTTTAATACTATCTCACAAGATAAACTTCTTCTGCTAATAGTACCTGACACTTATATGTGTGAAAGAACCGAACAAACTTCAGAACAAATTGATCCCTAATGTAACTGCATTGAATTTGTGGGAATTAAATTAGGGCTAACCGGTACATTATAGGGTCAAAGCAATAAGTCTCTTGCTCTTATAAGCTTTGCCTGATGGTCAAGGTTAAGGGTACCAAGTTCAGCCTTTGCCACATTGCTACAGCTCCCCCAAAACTAGAATTGACATGACATAGTGAAGTTATTGCAGGCTTCCTGCTTTTCCTTCTCTTCAGTCAGCAGGAATCTGGGCAAGGAAGAAAATCTCATGGCAGTGCAGCTCACTGATTCCCCATAAGGGCCTGTAGCAACATCTCGGAAATCAATGGAAAGACCGCAAAATCATCAGCAAAGCAGACTTCAGGTGGCAGCAGCAGTGGTAAAACTGCAGCTACAAATCTGCAATGCTCCTGGGCAAATCGAGAACATGTAAATCCCACAGGGACCCTCAGCAACAAAGTATTTTACCAGAGTTTAGAATTTTGCAAAATTAGGTCTTTTAAAATGCTCTAAATGACAAAATGGAAAAGGTTATCTTTTCCTATCTTTTTKGGGAAAAAAAAAATGCCCAGTAATTGTATCTTTGATGAAGATTGATGCCTAGTATCATTTTCCAAAATCTACTTTTGTCCATTTTACTACTTCCTTGGCAGGGAAAAGTCTTGCTGTCCRAAGACTTTCATCTTTCCAAGCTTCTTTGTAACTAATGATACTTTTCACTTCACTTGAGAGACACTTATGAAAGAGGAGAGAAAATACTGCTTGAGAAGTAAAAGCTTTTTTATCACTCAATAATTTGAAGTCTRAAAGATCCATAATCTGATCAATGTCTGTGTGTTTTATGTATTATTCACAAAAAGCCTTGGATTTGCAAAGTTAAACATTCAGAAAAGTCTTTAAAGACTGGGCTGCATAGTCAGCCCATTCTGCAGACTCTTGATGGTGGTGATTATTTACATGGTCACAAAGTRCTTTCTTCCCTTTCCTTCTTTTTTTTCCTTTTCTTTTCTTTCTTTTCTTTCTTTTTTTTTCCCCACTACATCCCTACGACACTGCTCTCTGTGTGAGAAAGGCAGGGAACACTTTGCCACTTCGCTACCAAGTYCCTCAATGCTTTTTCCTGACCTGATTGCTTATCATGCATGAAAGCTATAACAACCTACACACCAGTCCCAGCTTTGCTGTCGGACTCATCCCTGCAAAAGCAGGAGATTCCACCAAATTGGGGAAAATTTACTAAGTAAATTTTCATATTTATAGGGTGTATATTTATAGGACCCCAGCAAACAAGTGATGCCAAATGCACTCAGATTTTTGCCTTGTACTTTATTAACCAGACTGAGGGCCAGGTGGGCTCTGTGTCTTTCCTCTGGCTCTGTGTGTGTCTCACACTATATCAACAAGACAAGCAGTGAGGAAATTAAATGGCAACCACCACTAGAAGTGATGATAGGAAATCTTGTTTCCCAGAACACGTAATTAATTTGTAAAGCATTTGCCATGAATTACTATGAGGCCAAAATACTAACAAGACTCAGAGAAGTTCCTATCAATAAGAACATCCAGATGCCTTTAATTGGAATAAAATGCAGGAGGAATACTATTCATAATACTAATTATGAACAACCTGCCGTACGCAACTGCTGTTTGACAAGGCATGTGCTATTTGAACCTTATTTAAGTACATTAGAATTTAACGCAATTCCTCAAGCACAATTGAAAGCAAGACAGTGAATTTGATGATTCATTTATAAGGGAGATCAATTTTTATGTCCCTACATATCACACTTGGGATTCTCCCTTAACCTCGCAAAAGGACCTGCTCTTTCCCAATCAAAAGTGCAACCGTGCCCACCTTYGAGTTTGATTTTCAGGCTTATCTAGCATATCCCATAATAAACTTAAAAATGAAAAAGAGGAAGAAGGAAACCCTTTTATTCTGACATTATTCCTTCAGAGCCATATATCTATATGTAATATGCACGTCACGGCGGTACCGCGTGGCTGTTTCGTCGCAGCTGATGCGCGGGCACACACTGACACCTCGTGGCTCCCGCTTGCCAGCCGGCTGTCGCATCGAGTGTCACCCCTTGCAGCCACCTCGAGTAACCAGTGCGAGGGTGACCACCCAGCTGCATATTTTTCTCCTAATACCACCGCATTTTAATGTGGCAGCTCTGAACGATTCGTAGGTTTAAGGGGGCATTTCGTTGAGAGCTGCTGCTAAACCTTTTGCATTCCAAGGAAACAGTGTGCACTAAGAAAGTGGTTTTTTTGTTTTTTCCCTGCTCAGGTAGAACCATTTCTCTTGCAAACATGACATTTGGTTATATTACGGGCATTGCAGGGTGTCTGGGCGTGTTAGAGCCTCAGCACTGGCATGACAAGGAGTCTGTATCTCTCTGTTCCAGTACAGCTGGAAACTTCCTAGAGGCTAAACAGTGGGAATTAGCCCAATTTCCCGTGCCTCTCCCAGCCCTCAGGAGAAGTCCTGTCTCCCTCATGAGACAGGGACTCCCTTAGCCACATTTCCACATTCCTGCAYGCAACCAGCCTTGCCAGTGCCCTGCTAGCACCCCATGGGGAAAGGGAGAGCCACCGTTCCCCATCCCATCTGCAAAGCCAGGGATGTACATCCTTTCCCTCTGCAAGGAACAGCACAGACTCCAGCCACCATTTTTGAGCTATTGCGACACGTGCACAGCAGTCACGACGCAGCTACCAGGGCTTTTCCAAAGTGCAAAAATTACTGTAATGAATTTACAGTCTAGCCCCTCTAGTACGGATTGATCCCTCTGGTGCTSTGTCCCTCTTTCCCTTCCCAAGAGTCAACTTTCCTGCTTTCTAATATCATTAAGTAGCCTGCAGACTTTCTATATTTCACATCACCCTTGGGTCTTCTGTAAATCACTTTTTAATATCTTTTCTAAAAATGCCCTTTTACACTTTTTCTCCACTTTCTCAAGGCTCCCACTGCTCCTGCACAATGAGAACAAATTTAATTTGCACTGATTGCTTTTCTGTGAAGTTCACTAGTTCTTCACTGCAATGGACACCACCTTGCTCCACATGAATTTATGGAACACTAAACAATAGATTGCATTAACCCCTGTGCTCAGTGGCCCATACCCATGGAGTGCTTTGGGAATCCAAACACTAACAGGCAAAATTTGAGAGCATAAATTTGGAAGCTGGACTATGAAAGTCCCTGCTTCATTGTCATGTGACCAGTTATTTAATATTTGAAGAAAATGCAGTTTGTGATATTGATTTGCAACACAGACAGGCATAACGCTGCCAGTGAGCACACCGCTGTTGTGGGAATGCTTTCCAAAGCTCATCAGAAAGGAAAGTACTTAAATTAATGCTTTCAACCTGACAAATGAAATGGCCCTCATTCTGTGCTTAGCAAACCACTGCTGCTCCAGTAGAGGCAYGGGCAATGGTCAATGAGTCACTTTAAATGG